GGCTCTGTCCTTGGACCCTCCCTGCCACTCATTTCCCCCCCACCCCCAAGCATCAGGCTCAGCACAGGCTGGAGAAGGTGTCGAGGGAAATAAAGGCCGTGGCCGGCGGCAGGTGGCTGCAGGAGGGATGGCCCGAGGGACCCAATGTAGGCCACCCTCGGGGCTTATGGAGGAAGATGGGCCCCCGGGGAGGGCAGTAGCCACCACACCGGGCGGGGTGGGGATGCGGCGCGGGGATGCGGCGCCGTCCCAAGGGGAGCGGGACTCCGCCGGCCGCAGAGCCTCCCACGCTCCTGGGATGACAAGAGCGGCCGGGGCGCGACCCCGTCCCCTCCCCCCGTGACAGCGGCAGCGCGAGTGCGCGCGGGCCCTCTAACGTCCTCCCACCCCGGCAGGAGGTACCCTAGCCAGCAAGCCCCGCTGGGGCGGGCAGGGCCCGGCAATGCCGGCGAGGCACTCGGGAGGGCCCGGGACGCCCCGAACGGGGGCGGGGCCGCGGGCCCGGTCGCCCCTAGTTTACCTCCGTCGAGGAACTGCTCCTTGAAATAGACCACGGGCTCGGCGGCCTCGGCCAGGCCTAGCAGGCCCAGCAGCAGGAGCGGCAGCATGACAGGAAAAGTCAGGTAGGGGCGGCTGGGACCGGGTCCGGACACAGGATATGCAGGCGACAGGAGCACTCCGGCTCTGCAGTAGGGACAGCCGCGGCCGACCACCGACCGCCTTTATACCCGGCCCCCCCTCAAACCAACGCCGCTCGGCCCTGGGTCCGCCCCCTAAGCCCGCCCATTGGCTCCGGGACGCGCAAGGCCCCTCCCGATTGGCCCCGAGCCGGCGCAGCACTTTAGGCTGCGCCTCGGAACGCTGGGTTCCCAGATGGCCGCTTTCTATTGGCCACAGCCACGAGCCAATGAGGAATGACCACGCGTTGTGGGGGGGACGCCTACAGCTCCTCTTGAAGGGGGAGGGAAGCCAGGACCCGGTTCGAGTCACGTGACAAGCTGGCCAGCCCCTCCCCCCTTCTCCCCGAATCTCCCGATTCCAGTTTACCCTACTTATTCACCGGTTTCTTAAAAGTCGAGGTGAGCTGGGCGGGAGAAGTGGTAAACTCTTGACCCCCTTGCCAACCCCCAGGCCCTTCTCCAGAGCTTCTTGGAATCCTTCAGCTCAGGAAAGGGGCCCTCCTTGTACCAGACCCACCCCCATGGGGTCCCAACCTCAATCTTCAGGCCTTCTGGCCAGCAGTATTGACCATCCACACGACCCCTGGGGTCTTATCTCCTCATCTCGGCCTCCCAACCTGGAAACCCCAGGAACGGGAGGTTCCCGTGCTCAGCCACAGCCACTTTCCCCAGCCCTGCTTCAGCTCCAAAGGCTTCATCCACTCACAGGCATGAATGGTGCCAGGTCAGACCCTGGGTGGACAAAGGAGCAGTACCACCATAAGTGACTAAATGGGTGCTGCTCAGAGGTCTGGGGCTAAGCCCCACAGTCTTGTCATTTAGCTTTCAGACTCAGGCTTAACCAGGACTTATACCAGGGTCTCAGAAGGTTAATTCTGGGGGATTCTTGGGAAGAATGTGGGGAGTGATCGTCATATGTGACTGGCAGGACAGGGCAAAACTTAGTTGGGTGCATAGAATTTTGAATTTAGAGTCAGATGACCTCGGTTCAAGTGAAGGGAACCTAATTTTTCATATAAGGAAACAGCTACAGAAAGCAAAACACTTGTTTCAAAACCACCATACAGAAAATAACAAAAGTGAAATTCAAACACAGATTGTCTGGACTGAAAAATCCCTGACTCTTTCTATGACCATGCTAGTTCTGTCCCAGGTGTACTTAGAGCCTTGTGACCTTGGGCAACTCCCTACCCTCTTTGAAGTTTAATTTCCTCATATGTAAAATGAAGGTTTGGATTAGCTGCTCTCCCTGACTCCTAGAGTAGGATTAGAGTTCAGAGGTGACCTAATCTAATCCATATTTGAACAAGAATACTCTGGACATTATTTTTGACTAAGGATCACCTAATCGCAAGTTGAAGCCCCCTCCTCCCCATCCCAAGTTTTAATGCAATACTTTTACATCTTGGCTTCTTCAGAGACCAGAAGCCTGCCAGTGGGACTGACCAAGGGTACCTTTTTAATCCTCACACTCTGTGTGGCTCCTCTACCATTAGGCAAGAGGCCTTTGTACTTGAGGGGATAGGGGCAAATGGGCACTGTGGTCTTCCACAAACTGCTGAGGTTTTGTAACCCAAACGGCTTGGCCTGGTTGAGTTGGGGGCTGGGGAGCCAGAGAAGGAAAAAGAGACATAGTGTGTTGGCAAGATAAGGTTTGGGAAGGGAAGAACGAAAGAGACTCAACGGCCATGAAGGACCCCTTCTGGCAACATCTGTAATTCCTTTCTTCAAGTTCTGGGCTGAGCCCTCTGGAATCAACCAATCAACATTTATTAATTGTCTGCTGTTTGGTAGGCACTGGGGAAACAGACAGAATGAAACAATCCCTACACCTGGTAAATAAGAAGAAAAGAGGCCCAGTGCAGTGCCAAACATACCTGTTCCTCTAAGACATATGGTTTCTTGGAAGCTTGTCAGAACCTAAGACTGGGCTCAGCCCAGACAATAAGACAGTGACAGAGTGTGCCTTCCTGGATTAAAGGGTTCAGTATGGTGGTCCAGTCTTATTAGGATTTAATACTGGAAGGCCCCTTAGTCCACTTTACCATTTTATAAATAAGGAAATTAAGGCTGACAAGGGCAAATGAACTGTCCTAGGTTACACAGGTAATAGGTCCAGGATTTGTGTCTAGTAGCTAGGTCTTCTGAATTCAAATGCCAGGTTCTAGTGCACCCCTGGTATCTCTTGAGAATTCAGCCTGGGGTTGGAAGCTGGGGGTGGGGTGGAGAAATTCACACTCAGCATTAAAAGGCTGTGCCAGAACAAATTACAATAACTTACAGTAAATTACAGGAGAGGGAACTCAGGAGAAAAAAAAAACCTCATTAGTGCAAGAGGAACAGTGGCCATGAGACAAGAGAGCAGGTGATCAGGTAGGTCCAAGAGTCAGCTCCAGACCAGGATTTAGGTCCAGAGAACAGAAGGGAATTCTTAAAGACAAGGAAAAGAGAAAAGAGTAGTTTAGACTAGTGAGTGGCAGGATCTCTCAGATAAAAGCCAAAAAAAAGGTCATTAGGTTGGGGGAGGGATGGCCTCAGGGCCTAAGGGCTTCTTCATTCCAACTGTATTCCAACACAACCAGCTGGTTCTGCAAAACAGGTGTGAGAGGCTGAGTCTAGAGCAGGGGTGGGGAACCTGTGGCCTCGAGGCCACATGTGGCCCTCTAGGACCTCAAGTGTGGCCCTTTGACTGAATCCAAACTTCACAGAACAAATCCCCTTAATAAAAGGATCTGTTCTATGTCAAAGGCCACATTGGCCTCCAGGCCAAATGTTCCCCACTCTGGTGGAGGTTCAAAGCAAGGAGAATTCTTCCTTAGACCTTCTCAGAGACTCAAGCTGTGTCTACCCAAGCAGTGTTGTCAGAAGAGCAGAGCTCAAATACTGGTACTACCATTTGCTATTTTTGGTCAGTCACCTTTAGTCTGGGTCTCTATTTCCTCATTGGTCATAATTGAGCATTCCTCATCCAGATGATTAATAACTGCACTAACTACATCCCAGGGTGGTTCGAAGGAAAGTGCTTTGTAGACCTTAAAGTATTATGGAAATGTAAGTTGTCATTATTGTAAATATTAAGATAATAAGGACTAGATAGACTTGTTAACCTTTTATGGGCATAGATCCTGTCTCCCCAGCAATATGGGGGATAAATGGGGGGGGGGAATAATAGAAAGCCCAGTTTGAGCATGAGCAAACCTCAGTTCTAGTCCTAGCTCTGCTGTGTGACCTTGTTAATTGACTCCTTTCTCTCTGGGCCTATTTCTCCACCTGTCAAATTCAATTCCACAATTCAACAAACATTATACAAATGCTTACAACGTGCAAGGCACTGACCATAAATAATCCTTGAACCCTGCTAACCCAACATCACTGCTGTGGTTTTTAAGTGAAATTACAACAACCTTAGTTTCTCACCTATACAACAAGGTTGGACTTCATGGCCTCTGAGGTCACTTTCAGCTCTAGCTCTATGATCTTTGTGGAAAAGTACTTTGGAAATTACAAAATGCCTTAACAGCCATAATTCTCTCCTCTCCTCGACCCACCAGGCACCAAAGACAGGGCCAGGCACACAGCAGGTAGCCAGAACAGACAGTTCTTGCTTTAGGTAAGTGGACTCTTTGGAAGACTTCTATGTATATCGATTTTTACATAATACCAATTTGCCCCTACCCATTTCAGTTAGTCTATATAACAAAAGTATACACAAAAATAATACCTTTACATGTCATAAAATATACTGAAATGCAGATATATCAAATACTGCACCATGATAATAAACAGAATCATAAAATGAAAGTTAACGTTAATGATAAAGTATGCACAGTACTATACAGTCAAGTTAACATAGGTGTGCAATATATGGCTCCTTTCCCATCCACTGCACTTAGCCTTTATCACTGGTGGTTATCTGAGCAACTATTTTTATGAAACTATGGAGAAATGTTTGGGCAGTGCTCCCTTTTTACTCCCTCATATATCTGATCATAGCAAGTAGTAATATCCTCAACTAGTCTTTGAATTGTTAAAAATCTCGAAATAGTTGGATCCATCTTTTCAATACAAGAAAAAAAAAACACTCAAATGATGAGAGGCTTCTGCTAACTATTCCATCTCACACCTTTTTGGCTCAACCTCAAGTTCCAAAACTTCCCTTTCTTCTTCTGCAATCTGTGCAGCTAGCAGCTCAATCAGATCCTCATTCAAATTTCTTTTAAAATTCTTTACTGAAGTCGAATTTCCCATGTTAATATACATAAAGCAAGAACTGTCTGTAATGACTAAAAAACCCTCAGAGCATCAGAACCCAGAGAACTTTAATGAAAACAACAACCCTCATTTTTGTAGTGCTTCACAGTTTACAAAGCACAAAGGACTCTGTGACAAGGGTAGGAAAGGAATTATTTTACTAACGATGGGGGAAGAACCTGCGGGTCCCAAGGTATTCAGAGGTCACAGGGAGGGAGCCAAGATAGGCAGCCACATCTCTGGCCTCCAGCCCCACCCTAGGCCAGGCAGGAACCAGTGTGGAGCTGGGGCTGGGGCTGGTGGTCTCTCTGCTCCAGTATTCTGGCTTGTTTCCTTGTGGCACCAGGGTCCCGGGCGGCTTGCACAGGCTGGGTTCCCTCCAGGCATTAGCCCTGAAGCTCTGTACCTGCGTACTCTGGCTCTGGGGTCTGGCTCCTTGGACTTCGTGAGCTACCATATGGAGCTCCCAGGTCAAAGGTCAACGTGGGCTTTGGCTGGCCGCGGGTGGGGGTGAAGACGGGGGGGGGCGGGGGGGCCTGGACCCGTGAGGTCGGTGCTAGGGGACACAGCACGAAGAGACCCAACGAGGAGAGGCTGCCCTTCCCCTCTCCGCCTGTCTTCCACTTTGCCTCAACTGCCCCTCTGACGCTGCCTTTCTCTTTTCCCCTTCTTCGTCCTAGCCCAGTGTTGGCGCATCTGACTCACTCAAAATGGCAGCCCGAGGCTAGTACTCCTGTCACGCCACACCCAAGGTGGCGGGTCCCGCTCTTCCGGTCTGTGGCGCTTCCGGTTCCGGTGTATCTCTTCTTTACCTCACGGCGCAGACATGGCTGACGGGCCGGTTGCTCAGTTGCTTTTGCAGCGGCTGGAGGGCGGCGATGGAGGCCTGGACAGCCTGGAGCTGGCAAGCGCGCTGGGCCTGGAGCACCAGGTCGTAGTGGGCGCCGTCAAAAGCCTGCAGGCGCTGGGGGAGGTAAGGCGATGCACGGGCTGCGGACTAGGGCCGGCTGATGCAACCGGGCAGGGGCCGGCGGGATGAACGGGGCGGCCACATGTGGAGCTGGAGAGCGCCCAGGTGGGGACTGGGACCAGGCAGGAGGAGCAGCCGCATCCTGGAGATGGAGGACCGCGTCCCGGGGGTGGAGGGCCAGGGATGGGGCAGGAGGAGAGGCCACATCTGGGCACGGACGACCAGGGATGGGGCAGGAGGAGAGACCGCATCTGGGCATGGAGGGCCAGGGATGGGGCAGGAGGAGAGGCCGCATCTGGGCATGGAGGGCGAGGGATGAAGCTGGATGGAGGTGTGTCTGTGTGAGGGGGAAATCATCTCTCAGAAATGGAAGACTAGGGATGGGGGCAGGATCAAGGGTCATCGAGGCATGGGAGAGAAGGAGATGGGGAGAGTTAGTAATGATGTCTTAGAAATTGGGTGGGAGGAGGTGACCTGGATTAGAAGATGCAGAATGAAAAGATTGGGGAAATGGACCTAAGGAGGAAGACTTGGACCTGACAACTGTATTCTTTTCTGGGCCTAGGTCATTGAAGCTGAACTCCGTTCTACCCAACGATGGGAGCTTACACCTGAGGGCCAGGAAACAGCCCAGGATGGCAGCCATGAGGCCAGAGTCTTTCACAGCCTGCCTCCTGAGGGTCTGGTGCAGAGTGAACTCATGGTACTAACTGACTCAGAGAGCCTAGGGGAGGCTAGTTCTGGGTGTTGCTTTGGTTCAATAGATATTCATTCATTGTCTAGTCTAGAAATGATAATAGGTTAAGGACAGTTATAAAGATTAAAAGATAGAGTTCCTGCCCCTAAAAAGTTGTTGTAACGGAGTGAAGGATGGGAGGTGGACTTGTGCACACAAATAATATGGGGTACAAAGTGATGGGAGCAAAGGAGAAATCAATCGATCGGTAAACATTCATTAAATACTTATTATGTGCTAGGCACTGAACTAGGTGTTGGGCATGCAAAGAGAGACAAAAGGCAGCCCCTGACCTCAAGGAGCTCACAATCTAATGGATCCAAACATAGTGTTCTAGGAAAATGTGAGGAGGAATTGAACTCTTCGTAACAATGTAATGAGGGAAGAGATGTGATAGTAAGTTCGGAAATAGGGAGTCATAGTGCTTGAAACAAATTGATTCTGTAGTACTGGAAGGGTAAGTTGTAGCCAGATCTTGAGGACCCTTAAATGTTAGGCTTGTATGAGGTTAGTGTTTTATCCTGGTGGTGTTAGGGACTCACTAATAGCTTTGGAGCAGAAAAATGACGTGATTATTTTGGAAGATGATTTTGGGGATTGAGTGAAGAAAAAAGGGAGAAAGGAGGAGACTTGAGTGCTAGCCAAGGTGGCAAGGGTCTGAGCTGGGCATCTGCCATTATGAGTGGGGAGAAGTGGACTGGTTAGAGTGCTGGACTTAGGCCTGAGTTTGAATTCTGTTAGAGACACTTCAGAGCTGTGTGACCTTTGCTTACCTTGCCTTTTTGGTCCTCAGTTTCCTCATCTGTAAAATGAAGGGGTTGGGCTTGGTTATCGCTACAGTACACCCCTCAGCCCCCACCCCCCTCCACCCTTCCCCCATCTCCGCTCCCCACCCCCAGCTCTAGATCTATGGTTCTTTGAATTCAAGAAATTTCTTAGAGGGAGGAGCGGCAAGATGTGGCTGCCAGTTGTGTGTTGGAGGGCGAAGGCTGACTTCTCCACTCTGGGGGGAGAGTGCCTTACATTCAAGGCACCTCTAGGCCAGTACGTGAGCCCCTGTGATCCCACAGATCTCTTTTCCCATATCATTTTCGTGCCTTAGCTCAGATTCCGCCTCCTTCAGCCTCTCTTATTCCCGTTAGTTATTGCTTTCTCTCCTCTTAGACTACCTCATATTTAGCTATCTGTTTACATGCTATATCCCAATGTAAGTTTAGTGGAGACAGGGATCCTTTTCATCCTTGTACTCCTCAGCACCTAGCATAGTGCTAGCAAAAGTGCATAGTAAAACTCATTGTAGTCCCTTAATAAAAGCTTATGGAATATCATCCTCTGTCTGTCTTCTCCTAGAAACTGCCCAGTGGGAAGGTGGGCTTCAGCAAGGCCATGTCCAACAAGTGGATCCGTGTAGACAAAAATGTGCCTGGTGGGCCCCGGGTGTTCCGTGCTGTAAGTGGGGCTGGAGCCCTAATGGCTGTGAGGAGTGAGGCGGGTTATGTGACTTCCTGTGGGGAGCAGAGGCTTGTCTCTTTATATAGGGAGGAGGTGAAAAAAGAAATAACTGGGACGATGAAGGAAATGTGGCGCCTTCCTTTCTTGGTGGGGTTGGGGATAAGGCAGAGGAAGAACCCTCTCTAAGTCTGGCCCCTTGTGGTTTGGGTAAGATAAGAACTGGATTCTCTTTGAAATCTGCCTTTCTGGAGCTCAGGGCTTCTTCCTATCGTGCTGTGGCTCCTCCTGCCCTAGTTTTTCCTACCCCCTACCTAATCTTGGAGCCCTTGCTGCCTCATTTATCTAACCATTTAACAAACGTTAAGTGCCTACTGTGTACTGAGCCCTGTGCTGGGCATCTGAGGTGATACCAAGCTTAGATAAGATCCGGTCCCTGTTCTTATAGAGTTTGCCGTCTAGTAGGTGGATACGCCCCCAAACACACTATAATACACCGGCATAGGTGGACAGTGTGGAGGACTTGGTGCAGGCAAAACTGCAGCTGGTGCAGGATGGGGAAGCCGAGCGTCTGAGTGAAAAGGAGAGGAACGAACTGAAGAAGAGAAAGCTGCTGTCCGAAGTGTGAGTCCTCCCTCAGCTGTCCTTCAGGAACTTCCCCCATCCCAGCAGCTGTCTTCCTGTCTGAGACTGTCCCCCTTGCCTAGCTTTCTTCCCATGCCTTCCCATACTTGCATGGAGTTGGCATTGTTTCCCCACCAGGGGGCAGCTGTGTGCGTTAACCAGGTCATCCCACCAAACCCTCCCCTCTCTGGCTTCAGGACCCTGAAGACCTACTGGGTGAGCAAGGGGAGCGCCTTTAGCACCAGCATCTCCAAGCAGGAGGCTGAACTCAGCCCTGAGATGATCTCCAGGTGTGTGCATTGGGCTAGGGAGCGGCCATGCTAGCTGGTGGAAATCAGTGGCCCATAGTCAACTGTTCTTTTGCTTTCAGTGGCTCCTGGCGGGATGTGAAATTCAAAGCATACAACTTTTCAGCAAAAGGTGTCATACCAGAAGGGGGCCACCTGCACCCGCTGATGAAAGTTCGCACACAGTTCCGGCAGATCTTCCTGGAGATGGGGTGAGCAGGGGAAGGAGGGGATCTCAGGTCTGTCTGGTGGGTTAGCTGAAGCTAACAGGGACCATGGATAACTCTTGGACCTCCCTCTAGCTTCACAGAAATGCCAACTGACAACTTCATCGAGAGCTCCTTCTGGAACTTTGACGCCCTTTTCCAGCCCCAGCAGCACCCAGCCCGAGACCAGCACGACACCTTCTTCCTCAAGGGTCAGTGCTTGACCCTCTTGGTAGCACTTTCTAGACCCTCTCTCTGTCTTGTTTCCAGCCTTGGGTTGTCCTCTTTCAGGCCCATTTATGGAATTCTCTGCAGCAGGTACCTCTCTGGATCTTCTAGCTTCCCTTCTGAGAAGCAGCGTGGCACAGAGCTAGGGTTGGAGTCAAGAAAACCCAGGCTGCAGCCTTGTCTCTGCCACTCGCTGTCTGGCTGCCAAGTCACTAAGCTTTCTGAGCCTTGGTTCTCTTATCTATAAAATAGAGATAATATTCAGATCTTATGGATAAAGTGCTTTGGGAACCTTGTGTGGAGGCTGTTGTCTTTATTATCATCTCCTCTTCCTGCGGCCTCTTTGTTACTTCATCCTCTCCCTCCCTCCCCTAGACCCAGCAGAGGCCCTGGATTTTCCCATGGATTATCTGCAGCGTGTGAAGCTGACTCACTCTCAGGGTGGCTACGGCTCTCAGGGGTGAGAGCCCAAATGGTGTGGGAATTGAAGAGGTGGAGGTGGGGAGAGGCAGGAGAATAGGTGCACCTCTCATTTTCATTTTCCTTCAGCTACAAATATGACTGGAAGCTGGAGGAGGCCCGGAAAAACCTTCTACGGACACACACTACAGCTGCCAGCGCCCGGGCGCTCTATCGCCTTGCCCAGCAGGTATGCAGGGGTATTCCATTCCCCATGTTAGCTCACTTCTCTTTAGCTATCCTTGTCTCAATTCATTGATTCTTAGGTTTCTGGTATAGAAAGCAACAAGCAAACTTGATTTTGAGTCCTAGTCGCATTTATTACAGACTCAAAAAATTCAAAATTGAGCCTACTTTTGTGTCTATATCTACATGTGGGCATATGCACAGATGCAGGTATGTGCACTCACACATGCTCACAGAGCAGATATTGCTCAACGGCACTGGAAAGTTGTCGATACGGTAAAGATATACTTCTTGGATGATGGTCCAAGGTGGATGCTGTCATCATCCAGGCTGGTGGTTTCTTGGACATCTGTCTAAGATGCCAGCTCTCCTGTCTGTAGAGAGTTGACTTCATCTCAGGTAGTTCTCAAGGCCAGCTGCCACAAAAGCCACTAAGTCAGTGACCAGTGGCAGGATTATTTCAATGGCCTGTTTTGGAGAAACTGGCAATACCCAGTTCATCATTTTATTGGCATGGTTCCTGCCATGCTTGTGGACTGTCCAGGCCTGGCCGGTCAAGATGAGGAATCCAGAGGGAATGCCTGGGTAGTGTTTCCTTCAGGAGCCAAATTGACCATTTGAATGTAAGCGCCGCAGGAACAGAATGTGTGAAATAATCCTTGCCAGAGTTATAAATGCATCTAGTTTATATGCCCAGTATAGTCCTTTCCTGTGGGTGGTCTCTCTGACTCTGTTTTTTCTGTCTGTCCATCTCTCCCTGTGTCTTGACCAGTTCCGTTCCCTGGCTAGCTAGCTGGTTTCTTAAGTGCTGCCCCCATTCATTCATCATTCTAATTGAGTTGAATCTTCCTCCCATCTCTCCAGAAGCCCTTCTCCCCAGCCAAGTACTTCTCCATTGACCGGGTTTTCCGTAATGAGACGTTGGATGCCACCCATCTGGCTGAGTTCCACCAGATTGAGGGTGTAGTAGCTGACTATGGCCTCACCCTGGGCCACCTTATGGGCATCCTCAAAGAGTTCTTTACCAAACTTGGTAAGGGGCATTTCTAGCAGGGTGGGAGGGGAGGTGGCATGGGCAGCCACAGAGAGTCCTCTTCCACAAAGGCCAGTCTTTTGGGGAGAGGCTAGTTAGCACATCCTTTCCCTTCCTTCTGCTCCCCAGGCATTACAAACGTGCGCTTCAAGCCAGCCTACAACCCCTACACTGAGCCCAGCATGGAGATCTTCAGCTACCATCAAGGTAAGCAGATTTGGAGGGGGAGTGGGATTGTATATCTAGTAGCCATGAGGGGAAGAACAAGATCAGCCAGAGACAAGAAAATAGATGGACAGACATGGAGGATGGGAGCTCAGACAGACAGATGGGCAGGAGCTGGCACAGAGCTCTCCCCACACATGTGCTGGGGAAGCTGGGGGGAGAAGGGGACATAGGTGCTCTGTCCACCTATAAAGCTGATCCAGACCTAGGGAGTCTGTCTGTCCTGGAAGGTGTCTTGTAGACCTCAAGGCCCATGGGTGAGGTGAGCTGTTACGTGCCCTGGAATTGTCTAGGTGTCGTGGATTCCTTGGAGTGGGAAGAAGAGAGGCTGTTGGCACTGGAACCTTACCTTCTGTCTCCTCTTTCCTCCAGGTTTGAAGAAGTGGGTGGAGGTGGGGAACTCAGGGGTCTTCCGGCCAGAGATGCTGCTGCCCATGGGGCTGCCTGAGGGCGTGTCTGTCATTGCCTGGGGCCTCTCCCTGGAGAGGTAAGTATGTGATTTAAAGACTATAGATTCTCTAAGTGTGAGCTATGATTGTGTAACTGAAGATTTATAGTTGTGGGACTGGTGTGACCGATGTGAGACTCAGTGTGATTATGAGGGACTGAGGGACGTATGTATATATGTGAGTGTATGTAACCCAGGATCACAGTAGGTTCACCTTTAATCCCTAACTCTTTTCTCCTCTAGACCCACTATGATCAAATATGGCATCAGTAATATCCGAGAATTGGTGGGACACAAAGTGAACCTGCAGATGGTGTATGACAGCCCGTTGTGCCGCCTGGACACCTAGTCTTTGCCCACTCACAAACTGGATCCCCCTACCCCATGTGTTCATGTAGTGCTCATTCAGTCTCTGTTTGGAGACCTGCATCTGGACCTTGGGCCCCTCCGACTTCCCTGGGTATCTGGAGCCAACCTGGGCCATGCCTTGGACTGTCATCTCCTTTCACTACCCAGACACCTAAATATGTGGAACTCCGCCTGCCCAACACTCCCCTACATATTTATCTTCTGAAAATTCAAGCCTAGACTTTCCACCTCCTCATCCTGGTTTACTTCCCAGGGCATCCCTCCTCATTGTAGGGCTGGACCCCAGAGCATGTCCACCTGAGCCAGAATCTATTTCATACCTTCTCCTGAGCTGACATCCGTCCGTTCATGAATAAAGTAGTGCTGATTCCTTTGCCTAGTAGGCTTTCTCCTAAGAGTGGCTGTGGGAAAGGTGTTTTGTATACCTGTCTTCTCCAGGATTTATCCAGTCTCAGAAAGAGCACATGTGCACACAGCACCCCCAGCAGGCTGGACCCAGCCTCTACCTCAGTAGTTTGGACCTTGACTTGCCCCAATGTAGTGCTGAAGGTCATTCTCTTCTTCTCTATTCTGCTTTTTTCTTGGCCTGATACCCCAATTGCTGTTCTGGACATCTTTGGGAGCCCTGGTTTAGGCAGCATTTCAGAGCTTTTGGTCGAGGAGAAGACAGCCTATCTCTGGGTAGATCCTACTTTTATGTGGTGGTGGTGAAGTATATCCTGGGAATCCGGAACATCCCCCACAGGCCAAGGGAAAATGGCTACCAAGTTTTATAACTTTCAGGGAAAAACAATAAGGTTGGGATGAGCTGTTCAGGAGGGCATTTCTTGCAGAAGAAGGCATTAGCACCTGATCCTAATCCTTGCTCTTCTCTTAATAGTGTCTGGGGATCCTATCACTTACAATATGAAAACCCAAACAGGTAATCCTAAGTGGGATAGCAAAAATCAACCTACCTTGGATTTATTGCTAAAAGAGACCTCAGAGACCATCTCATTGAATACCCACAGTTACAAATATTAAAGCCGAGTCCCAGAGATAAAGTGCCCACCTAAGAATTTGTTAGAAAGGACCTTAGTTAAATCCACTCCAATACCCTTATGTTCTGGAATCTAGGGTGAGCAAGAGGCAGGCAATAGCACATGTCTTCCCTTGCTTCTCTATTTTTCATATTTCTAGTGGTGCAGTCGAACGTTACACAAACACTCCATAATTTATTTTGCCATTCCCTAATCGATGGCTGTCTACTTTGTTTCCAGTTCTTTGCTACTGTAAACAGTGCTGCTATAAATATTTTGGTGTGTATTAGATTTATTCTATCTTTGATCTTGAAATGCTATGCCAGGCAGTGGGATTTTTAGATTAAGAGGTCTGAACATTGTAGTTATTTTCTTAGCATAGTTGCAAATTGTTCTCTATAATGGTTGGACTGATTTGGAGCTCAACCAAAAAACATTAGCGTGCCTGTTGTTCTGTAACCCCTCCAATATCGGCTTCCCATCTTTTGTCATCTCTGCCAGTTTTCTGAGTAGGAGCCACAACCTCAGGAACATTTTGATTTGCATTTCTCTTAGTGGTGTGGAGTTCTCTTTCATATGATCGTCAAGAGTTGGAGTTCTTTTAGAAGCTGTTAATATCTTTTGCCAAAAGGACAATAAAATAGTGGAGGAGGTAGGGTAGGGTCTGGTCCGGGGGTTGTTGGGGAGGGACTGGTGAGGTCAGAGGATCTTCAGTAAAGACAAATTAATTAGGCATGGTGAATATCCAGGTAAATTCCCCACCCTACCTCTTCCACAAATGGGAAGGATTCAATTTTAGAATCACCTCTTCTTCAGGACCTGGTTGAGTGCTTGCTTAGAGAGAAGGGGTTAGGAAGGGGCCAGGCAACAATATGTACTTGAGAGAGGGAACTTTCTTTTCGAATTTTGTCCCTGGCACTTAGCATAATGCTTTGGCCCTACTGTTTCATAAATGCTTAGTTTGTTCATTTCATCAAATCCTGACCAAAGGCAAAGCTCCCGGGATGTCTAGCCCATGGTGGACATTTCATTCTTGACTGGTCAGTGTATGTTTGTAGCACGCATGTAGCCCCAGACTGTCCATCCATTTTCCCTTGCTTTTGATAAGTGACCAGTCCACCATTTTTTCTGATCATTCATTTCCTAGTTGATAGCCTTTTACACTGTATTCTACGCCCAAATCACATTCTTCCTAATATTCTGCATCCTACTTAAATCCACCTTACATCTTCCTGTTTCCCTTTTGATTGTCCAGGGATTACATTCTGTTTCCCAGCCATGTGGCCTCCCCAGGAGAATGTTGATTTTTTTTTAAGGGGTGGGGTGGGCTGTTCGTTTTAAAGAGGAATTAAGGATCATTGAAGGGGTACTATGCAGTTTTCCAAATACTGCTCCTTTTCCATTCTGGGCCTCACTTTTTCTAAGTTGGTACTGTAATAGAGTATTGGTGGCCCAACTCAGTGGATGGCGCGATCAGCTATCACCGTTTTTATCCATTTGGTGTTCCCCATGTGGATTGTTAGGTTGCTCTCTCTTGAGTAGTTGTTGAGCTCTTAGAGGAGATTTTGAAATATTCTGAGGGCGTGATACCGCCAGCCTGGTGTCGTCTGCAAATAAAAGTGTAATAGGCACATTAGGCAATTAATAAGTTGACATTAATACTAGCTGGTATTTATGTAGCACTTTGCATATGTAGTTCATGTTATCCTTTCAGTAAAGTGTAGTGACTACAATTTTACACAGCAGGAAGGAAAGAAAGAAACAAGCATTTATTAAGCACCTGATATGTCCAGGCATCAAGCTAAGTGATTTATATTTACCTCATTTGATGCTCACAATCCTGGGAGGTAGGTTCTATTATCCCCATTTTACACTTAAGGAAACAGATAAGAAGAGTTTGAGTGACCTGCTCAAGGTCACAGTAACTGTCTGAGGCTGTATTTAAACTCAAGTCTCCTGACTCCAGGCCAAATACTATATGTACTGTACCAGAGAATCATGGGCCCACTATCAAAAGACAACATTCAAAACCATGTCTCTCCTGCCTTGACATATAGCACACTCCCTACATAACTAAGATGTCTCTGTCTGTGTGTCGGAATTTGTGACATGAAAGACACTGTTGGGCACAAGCTTCTATCTAACATCTCTGCTCCCATCCTCTGCCTTCATGCTCCCAAATTCTTATCAGACATCTGGGCCAGTGTATGCCAGAAGGGGCTGTCACAGCTGAAAAGCAGTCTGTCCTCCTCTCCTGGCTGTCTGATAATTCTCTGAGCCTCTGTGTATTTCTGATTCTGTGACCCACCCTTCCTTACCCCTGAAGTCCCTGGCCTTGCATTTAAGCATCTCTGGAGCCAGCCTACAATCTGCATACCTTGGGAACCACACAGACTGGATAAGCACAGTTCAAGCACCTGGCCAGCTTTTGTGGATTGGGTGGGCAGGGTTGTGCCTGGACTGCCAGAGGATTGATCTTTCTGCAAAGTGCTGGCTGCCCTGAGCAGAGTCCCCAGAGGGGGAGGAGGAGGAGGAGAGGCAAGCTGGAGACTCCTGAGAACCAGTGGCCAAACCCTGCAAAGTCAGGGGGCCCGGACGAAGAGGAGGCCTGAATGAAACTATTCATTGACCCAGAGAGGCATGTAGGCTCCTGGGGCCCACCGACACTTGGGCCATAGGCAGGGCTTTAGATGAGGCAGGAATGAGCTGGGTCTTGTGCAGAAATAGAGCCTTCTGCTCAGAAGGTGCAGGCAGCTCAGAGCAGTGTGTCAGAAGATCTGACCTGGTCCTTTACTATTTGGTTCTGCAACCTGGGGCAGGTCACTTTTCTTTTTCTATAAAATAAGGGGGTTGGACAAGGTATCTTGAAAGCCCCCGTCAAGCACTAAATTCTGTGACCCAAAATATGTGTGTGTATGGGCAATGGGGGATGGTGAGGGTCAATCAATCAATAAGCATTTATAGAATGCCTATTTATGTACCAGGCAATGTAGATAGGAAGGAATAGGTGATAGAGATTGGACCAATGATTTCATTAGTTTAGGGAATTCCTAGTTGGCGAAATTCTCTCTACCAATGCAGTATACGATATAGACAGTATATAGAGAGAGTTGCAATTTATAGCCTTAGGTGGCTCAGTGGATGGAACACCAGGACTGGAATCAGGAAGATCTGAGTTCAAACCCAATCTCAGACACAGACTAGATGTGTGACCCTGGGCAAGTCACCTAACTTATATCTGTGAAATGTGGATAACAATAGCACCTACTTCCCAGGGTTGTAGGAATCAAATGAGATAATTGCAAAGCACTTAGCACAGTGCCTGGCACATAATAAGTCCTATATAAATGTTATTATCCAGAGTACTAAGAAGTTGAAGGATTTCCCACAGCTAGCATGGATCAGAGATATTTTTTGAACTCAGGTCTCCCTGGCTATGGAGTCTGTTCCCTATCCACTCCCTCAAGCTGTGTCTCTGGGAATACTAAGACAAAACAATCCCTGCCTTCAAAGAGTTTACATTTTATTCCTTGGGTGAGGGGAGGAGAGGTATGCACACATACAAGTAAGTACAAAATAATTTCGGGGGGGGGAAGACGTTGCTAGTAGCTGAGGCATTCAGTTAATAAACATTTATTACTATGTGCTAGGCATTGTGCTAAGTGCTGGGGATACAAAAAGAGGCAAAAGACAGTCCCTGCCCTCAACGAACTTACAGTCTAATGGGGAAAGAGAGACAACAAGCAAACCAATAGATGCAAACAAGCTACATACAGGATAAAAATTTTAATTAAATGAAGAAAGGCATCAGAAAAGACCTTACGTAGTACATGATACTCTAAGAAGAGCTTTGAAGGGAGATGGAAGTGTCCTACCGGGGTAGAGGTTGCTTACAAATTCTCACATTTACATAAGGCTTCAACATTTATAAACCACACTTTAGTAGGGGCTGTTATTATTTGTCCCTATTTCACAGACAGGCTGAAGCTTATTGATTTTGCCTGTGTCACAATGGCCATAAGGGTAATTCCATGAAGTGTCCAAGTCAAGATTTGAATCCTCCTTGGATAATAGAGGCTAGAATTGACATATTATCCTAGTAGACTTAGGATAATAGATTCTAGAGACCAGAGACCAGCTAGTCTAATTTTCTCATTTTGTACATGAGGAAACTGAGCTGTAGGGAAGTAAATGACTTGGCCATGGTCAACCAGGTATTAACTTCAGAATTAG